GGAAAACTGCGTTATGCACAATTGAGTTAGAATGGCCTCTCTCTCTCTCTCTCTCTGTGTGTGTGTGTGTGTGTGTGTGTATATATATATATATAAAAAAATGCAAATATATTTGTTACTGTGATATAAGTGCAAACTTCTGCATCATTATGGTTATTAATATAATTTTTTCCCATTACAATTATCCTCCCATACTAGATCCAATCCATGTCGTGAACTTTGTCATTGGTAAATCACTTCCTTATTGTAATGGGAACCGATTTTTTTTTACGTGTTCTTAATCTGATTTCCATAAGATTTAGTTGCCATCCTAGAGATCTCTAAAAATTGCATCTTGAAGAATTTGTGTCTGTTCGTAACCTTCATACATGTAAGAGGATCTGCGGTCATCCTGATTTGTGAATATGACGGCCACAACCCATGACTATTGACCATGTTATCAGGGCTTGATGGGAGCATGAATCCAGAAATATCTGGATTACCCACTTCTGGTGCTAATGCATGTTCATGAATTTAGCATCCTGCATTGTCTGCAACCTATTTCCCGTGTTGTCTGCGACCCAGACTAACAGGCATATCTAACCCATCTAAATAATCAGCAACTCATTCCCTTTTTTAAAAAGACAGAATACTGCAAAATAAATAAGTACAGCAACTAAGCTATGTTGGGGGGTAGGCTTGGATAGAATTACTGATACAAGAATAGAAGAGGCGAGAAATATGTTCTTGTATTCATCTGTGGGTTAATGGAGGATGCAGAGCTGGTATAAATTACATTGCTGTGTGTTGCAGGTGTAACATAATCCATAAGTAATGAAACGTAATCCACAAGTAACTACATAATCTTCTTTTCCGGATATATAAAGTATTGGATTATAGAGCTGTGCTACTATATAAATACTCTTTGTGCCCCTTTATTCCTACAGATAAATACTAGCATTTTGTCACGTTTTGTATGGGAACATTTTATGTCTATTCCAGAGGAAAATCTCCACAATTATTTATTTTATTTATGAGATTTACAGCCTCACAACTCCAAAATGACTCTGGGTGGCTTATGTCAAAAATAACAAGAATAAAAATTAGTACTATATAATAAAATATATAAGCCAGTTTGGTGCCGTGGTTAAGGCACCAGGCTACAAAAATAATAAAGGAAATCCCATGTGTCTGGCCAAACCTATTCCCTCTAACAAAAAAATTAGCAACAAGGCTCCACAAACACCCTTCCCCAAGGCCTGGGAGAACAGCCAAGTTTTTAAAGATTTCCAGACCATCATCAGGTGGGAGCAAATGGCTTTCGGGGAGGAGCTCATTCCAAGGGCAGAAAATAGTGTTCTATTTTTTTCTGTTTTTGAGCCATTCCCCAAGCCTAAGGCTATGCATAAAGTTTAGGGAGAGGTTTAAAGTATAAGTTTTTAAAAATGTGTGGTTTTGGAAAAGCATTTTCTTTCCAACTATAATATGTTTTATATGACTGCCAGCATATTTAAGACACATATTTTTTTTAAAAGGCTTATCTTCAATATTTGAGTAAATGTGGAAGGGCTTTCATGTTGGAGAGAATACAAGATCTCTATTGTGCCACAGAGGAAGTGAAAATACTTAGTAAATGCAAAATTGCTATCAATATTTCCAGCTCTTGAGATCAAATCAGGCTGTTTTCAAGTATAAGTCCTGGTTTCCAGAAACCAAATAATTATCATTTGTGGCTGAAATAACATGCCAAATTGCATGTAATGGAGGTAAAATCAGTGTATGTGCTTGGTAACCAGTGTTCTTAACTTAGCATCTCATGTGAATACAGTTTAAATATTTCACCTCAGACAGGATGAGGAATCTTATTCACAATTATTGGAAGTGCCACCTCCAAGAAAAACAGGTAACCCATTTCAAATATTCTATTTTACAAGCAGCAAATGTTATTGTAGAGAAATTCAAAGAGAACGTTTACAAAATACACAACATGTTTATTGAAAATAGATATTTTACAAAACACAGTACAGAACAAAGTGTCAAGAATAAATAATTGCTACTTTTAGAGTTTTTTTTAAAAAAAATCAAATAGCTGCAAACCAAACAGGCAAAAACTAGTTTTAACAAACAGTTGTGGAACAACAGGTACCTGAAGTGACCATTCAGGCTGAAGCAATTACGTGTGAAGTAAAGAAAAAAATAGTATTAACAGCCTTGCATCTGGAACACTCGTAAACCTAAGAATTTCTAGCTTAAAAATTTTAAAGATAATGTTCAGATTCCCAAGTTTAAGAAACCATCTAGCTCCCTTTCCTGGGGGAAAAAAGGTTGCTTTCATAATGTCTTTAAATGGTTAAACATTCTTCTCTATGCTAAAACAGTATACAACTCTGTTCCTTAACGCCTAGCTAATACTTTTTAAACATAACAGACCTGCTGAAAATAAAAAAAAAACCATGTACAGCCTTTTCGGAGTTAACACAACTTACAAGTGTGAGTTCATAATCCTGCAAACACGCAAGCATTTAATTTGACTGACAAAACAGACAAATCAGATGTTTGCTTGACTGCTAAATCAGGATGTTCTAGCATTTTATGTCTATGATCTATCACTAGCTGTTGTCAGCTTTATGTTATTTTGAAACTGATTAGAGTTACATAGAAATCTCACCCCCAATAAAATCCATATTAAATTTGCCTTGTTTTCCATGCCACAAGTCAGTAAATAGAGAAGAAGGAACCGATAAAGCTGTTCCTCCAAAAATTTTCGACAGAAATATATGTCTGGAGGCATACAGACAACATGACCCTGTTTCATCCCATTCTGTAAATAGAAGATGTAGCTATTTTACTCATACTAAGTGAAGAAATACAGAATGGGAGAGAGAAGTTTTTAGTTGCAAGATCGTAAATGGTAAAGTTACTGAAACTTTGGTTAAGAAAAAACTACTTATTTATAAAACTGGCACAGATTGGATGTAAACAGTTTACATCTAAATATTTTTATGCTGCATAATCACATACACGCCGATTTCATAGCTTTTGAAAGTAAAATTGGAATTAAATATATAACATTTTTAAAAAGTGTTTTGCAGGGTTTATACCTGTCTGTGTTCTTGGAGTGTAACTTCAGTGTTAATCTCTTAAAAATATCTCTTGCTTCTCAAGAATAACGTGAATCATTGGGGAGATAAATACATTTGCAGTGAACATCAACTGAATAAATAAAACGTGGCCTTTGTTCAAAGATAAATTGGTGTATTGGGGCATGGCCATCACAATTTTATGATGTTTATGTTTATTGTGCAGGTTAGATCTATGAAATGTCGCAGAAAAGTTGAAGCACTTTCTCTTCTCAAGAACTTTTGTTATTGAGACAACAGCTTTGCAGGATTCACTTAAAAGTGTTTAATGTTAACAGTAGCACCACTTGCCTAGAATCAAGGTTTCTTAATTCATCTTGAGTGATCATATAATGAAACATATACAAGCATTCAGTTCTAAAAACATTAGATCAAAATGTAATTGTGTGCTTAGAAGTGATAGTATTGTGTTCGTGTATGGAAAGAAAATGTTATTGCATTAGTATACTGTCACAGCGAGTACTTTGACCTATCTTTCTCTGTGTAACCTACAGATTTTACTGCATCAGAAAATGTATGTTTTTAAACCAATCTGTGGCAGAATTCATTTCCATTTGGTAATTTTATAGTTCCAGATTGAGATGCATACATTTTAATTTTCTTTAAGAACTATCCAATTCTTAAAATTATCTGGTGGAAAACTTTATTATAATGTTTTTATAAATCTGTTTTTATAATTATAATGTACTTTTGGAGAAACAACTGTGCAATCTGTAGGCAAGCTTTTATTTTTTTTTTATTCTGTGTTCATTTGAATTTGTTGTGTAGAAAACAGTTGATTTCCTTATTCATTTTTGGCTCAGTAAATCTATTTTGATTTTCTCAAGTATTAGGAAAATGCAGCAGAACAGGGATATGTATCCTGGAAATATAATCTGCAAAGAAGCATAATATTAACCATTCTACAATATATCCTACCCCAAGCTCCAGAAGAAACATTTTTCACTTTCAGATCTGTAGCCTGTTTCCAAAGATAGTGAAGGTCTTCTACATGTCCATGGGAAGTCATCATTTTGTTGTAAATGCAAGGATGATATGGAGCCTTAGCTTCCCCAGAAAAGAAGACGTGATTCTGTGGTACAATTCCCATCTTGTTGGCACAGAGCCCCATGAAAACATCATCTATATAAAGACTCAAATTAAGAGTCTGTGAGGCTAGGAATACTTTAGCTGCCACATCGCTCGATATCACATACGCAGCTCCAGCTGTGTAGTCAGGATAAGCAGGCCACGGGTATATTTCATAGGGGACGTAATATTTGCTTTTTTTATCCCTCACGGGAGGTGATCCACGATGGACACGCCCAATCCAAACATCCTGAGCGCCAATCTGTGCTAGACTTTGGAGGTATGCAATAAGATTTGGCATGTGGATAAATATGTCGTCATCGGCTGACATAACAAACTTGGCATGAGGGCAGAAGTTGTTCACCCAGCTGAACTGCAACAGTAATTTGTGGGTAAGATTGTAGAAAGTATCCAAGAAGTCTTGTTGAATCAGATCGCCATACATCTCATCTTCCATTTCCAGCCTCATTTGCATTTGACTTCTCTGTGCAAAATTTCCTGGTTGCCCTAAAACAAATAAGGCCTTTATGTTGGCATTAAGATAGTAATGAGCATATTTTTCATTACCCCATGTTTGTCGAATTGCATCTCTCCTGTGGCGGTTTTCAGGTGGAGTCTTTACAAAGAGCAAGAGGAGAACATCTTGCCCTTGACATTTCTCCTCGTGATTAATCAAGTATCGATGGCTTGCTGCCCTGTCCAAGTTGTCTCTGCTAATAGATAGGCTTTCGTTCACAAAAGCATAGCTGTTTATGAGGTACCTGTACGAGTAAGATTTCATGTGGCTCACAATTCCATTATCAATTTCTTCCCAAAAAAACATGAGGCACAGAACAAAACAGGTGGTAAAGAGTTGCACAAACTGACATTTTCTAACTCTTCTAGCATTAATATACATTCTGATTCACTTCTTTATATATGATTCCGATGAAAGATCTGGATTTTTAAATAAGTTCTCATGAGAGGCTTCAAAATTTCTCTTCCAGGAAAAGTGTTCATTTTAGATGCATACTTCTGCATCTAAGTTACTGGAGAGTAACCTCCATAAAATCCTGATATATTAGCTTTTACAAGTCATCTTGTTTCCAGAGAAATTTGGTGATCGTAGGAGGGCTCTGACAACATACAATGGTAACGTCTCCTGTTGCCTCTTCAACTGATATAATATCAGCTCAAAGCTGAATAGTTACAGCTGCGTAATCTGCAAAACACACACAAAAAAATCATCTTTAAGTATAGTTCATAATTTCTATATGATACTGGTAACAGAGAGGGATAATTCACAGATTCAAACAGTCTGAGAATTGGTCCTGCCCCTGCCCAACAGTATTTTATTCACTCTAGGTCCATTGGCCAGTAAGACTACAGTAATTCTGAAAAAGCAAGCTATGGTTATCTCATTACTGCAAAGGGAATGAAGGTGAGACAGCATTCTGAGGAATTCACTTATTTAAAGATCCAAGTAATTCTAACCTGAACTCTGAGGAAATCATACAGTATGTCAACTGACCATTTCACTCCACTTCTCCCAACTATAAACCAGGTCCCATGTGCCTCCTGCTAAATTTCAGGTGGAGTGAAAAGCAGTGATGAGAAAAGGTTAAACAGACATACTCATAAATCCTAACCCAGCATTTCTCAACCTTGGCCATTTTAGGATGTGTGGATTTCAATTCCCAGAATTCCCCAGCCAGCATGCTGGCTAGGGAATTCTGGGAATTGAAGTCCAGACATCTTAAAATGACTAAGGTTGAGAAACACTGTCCTAACCATTTGAAGCCTCTGCTGTTTCTCAGACACTCAGATTGTTCCAAGATGCTCCACCACCTGTTTAGTTATTGACCAGCAAATGAATCTTATAATTCAACAGTGGTAATCGGAGAGCGTGCTCTGCCACACGAGAGCAACATCATTAACATCTATGGCACAGAGTTGGTTATATACCAATGGTGCATTGCTGACCTCTCCACCAGCAGCACATTGCTCACTCATAATTATTCTGCTACACAGCAGCAGTGCCCAAATACTGATTGGTGCACGCACTGGATGTCTAATGTTTGCTAGACCAGGCAGCCTAGACTGGCTGCTTCTCTTCTCTCAGGCTTAGAAATCCCAGCTCAGGAGAGCTGCCTGCAATTCCTTGGGAAAAAGCAAATAAGCAAAACGTCCCGTCTAGTTTGGCAGGGAGGAGAGCCTCTGCAAGAGGATGGGCCTTGTAGGAGAAGAGCTGTGTTAGTCTACAGTAGCCAAAGCTCAGGAGGAATGCGATAGCGCCTTTTCTGACTAACAAATTTTATTAAAAGGCATCCACTTTCCCCAGCCTGGCCTCCCTATTTTCAGTGATGGCCATCTCTCCCCTTGGTCCTGCCTTGAGAGCCTTTTGGAGACCAGGTTCAAATCCTGGGTTATTTGCAACAGGGAAGAAAGATTCACTCTTGCAAAGGACCATCGTCCCCAAAGACTAAGATTCACAGAACAAAACAAGTTCTGCTCTCAGTGGAGGCCATTTCTCCAGGCCTGAGGACTCTCAGGGGAAAGCAGGGCATGAACCCCAAAGGCAAGAAGCCCTGTGCTGAAGGGCGTGTATGTACACGCATGTACAAGACGTTCGTGCACACCCTCCAGGCTGAGAAAACCTGCAGCTCTTTTTCTCCCCCCTTCTGAAGCAACGCCCCTTCAGCATCGGGGTGCTGAGGGAAAAGCAGAAAATGAGGATGGCAGATTGTCCTAGAAAATACGCTTTTTTTCTTCTTTTTAATTATGCATTTTGCAAAGAGCGTAAGAAAGAGATCATACAACTCATGGGCAAAGTAGAAAAATGAGGGACAGGGAGTGAAGTCCAGGGGGATAAACAACACATCAGAAGGATCCCAAAGCTATTTGTATTTGGTTCCTCCCTCCCTCCCTATATTTTGCTGTGCTATTTAATTCTGGGGACTGCCCAGAGTCACTTAATTGAAATGGGTGGCTACATAACCAAATAAATAAACAAATATACATACATACATACATACCTACCTACCTACCTACCTACCTACCGTCCAGGCTGACAATATTGTAAGATCTTTCCTATCCATTTTCTCAACAAAACCCAAATGAACTTCAAGCTGGAAGTGCTTGCTCAAAATAAACAAACACGTACACATACATACAACATTAAGTGAATATTAGAAACTGGCATCTGCAGGGTATGGTCCAAAAAGTGAAGATGGTGGCTGCGACAGGGTGATCAAAATTCTGCCCCTTTTTTATGTGCCGCAGAGGGCAGAAGTTCAATCGCCCTGTCATGGCCACCATCTTGATATTTTTGACCAACCCTGTGGATACCAAAATTTGGAAGTGCTGTGTCAAATCAAAATCTGAATCCTACATTTAACAAAACCTCAATTTTGGATGTGGCACAATGCCCTGCATGAATGGTTTTCCACTGGAATTCTTGGTCAGATTTCCCTTTTTAAAATCGAAGGTTCTCCCCCTCAGCCATCTTGATTCGGTTTCCCACAGGAAACAAACGCCTCTCGGCCACCGACCCTCCATTGTGGCCTGTTTTGGCCATCGTTGGCTTCACTGTCCCTTCTACGACCTGGTTTCACCTCTGAGGGCAGCCTAAAGGGGAAACGAAGCCTCCATGTCGGTTTTCTCAGCAGGAACATGGAAGTGGCTCCCCGCTGCCTTTTTCTGGCATCCATGGTTGGAGCGATCACTATTACAGGGGCACAGCCATGCTCAGAGGAAGCTAGAAGACTGCATAAATCACTCACAAGTAAACAAGCCTCTGAGTCTCACCCCAGGGTCTCCTGGTGGCCTCCCGTCCCCACTGAGCCTCCAGGCCCAGGCAGGGCCCACCCCTGAATGAACAAGAACACCATCTGCAATCAATGGAGCCTCACTCCAGGCCTCCCATTGCTCACAGAAGGGGACTGGCCTCCGTTGTTTTAAGCCGGAGAAAGACGATGGCGCCCTGACTCCTCTTGGCCTCCCCCTCTGAAGATGGGAGACCCACAAAGGCCTGAGAGAAGATGGCAGAGGCCGTGAGGGACTCTCTTTGGGGACCCAAGTGGCCCTTCCCAACATGGGGCTCTCCAGATGGAGTGGGCTTCAGCTGGTGCAACTTCCTGCGCTGAGGATGAAGGGCATTGAAGTCCCACACATCTGGAGGGCATCGGGTTGGGAGCAGTTGCCAGTGGCCATAGGAGGAGGGCATTTTCTTCCGTTGGCCTTGCTTTTCGGCCGTCCCTACTTTCTTCAAAAAGGAGCTGTTTGTGGACGAAGCAAAATTCATGGAAAAGTCACCCCATGGGGGAGATTTTGGGGGGTCCCAGTGGGATGTTTTCTTTGTCCATCCGCCACATCCTAAGATCTGCACAGAGCAAACTTTAATTTCCAGCTTTGGGCTTCCTTTGTTTTGGTTTTGATCCAACCGCACTGTCAGGCTGCTAGTCCAAAGTGAGGCTCGGCCTTTCCTCCTGACAAAAGCCTGACCTTCATTTATACAATTATTGGTTTGATCTAATTAGATGCTCACGTTGCTCCTTGAGCTCCGATTAATTCCTGTCTTTCATTTAGCCTGAGAAGCTGTGACAATCACCGGATAGGGAAATACACTGATACTGTACCCAGAGCCTGTTTACACAACATCCTTGATTTGGCTTCTGAAGTCACCCATTTTCTGGCTCCGCACAATACATGCAATCATAAATAACCGATCAAGCTAGGTCTGCACAATATGCTAAGCCAGGAAACGAACAAACTAAGGTTAACCCAAACCAAGCTTAAATTGTTGCATGGATGCATCTGCTAAGTTTTTGCACATAACTTTCTTAAATTTCTTCTGTGAGCCTAGCCAATTCATCTTGCTAAAGCTGTGTTTCTCAACCTTGGCAACTTGAAGATGTGTGGACTTCAACTCCCAGAATTCCCCAGCCAGCATGCTGGCT